GAAGTCCGAGGTGGGTCAGAAAGCAGGAGACCGTTCAGACGAGTCCGGATAGGCCAGCAAGATGAAGCTAGGCCGCTAAATTAACTTTTGAGTAACAGTAAGGTGTGTCATAAGAAAAGAAGCTTTCGGGACGAAAGTGACTATATGATGAGCCAGTTAGCATGACAAGGAAAGGTGCGGAGATGAGGGGAACAGAGTGTTTGGAATGTAGAACCTCGAGTGATACAACTCGGATGTCTAGGAGCAGTGAGAAACATGAGACTGGTCAGCCGAGGATAGATAAGAGCCTGGTCCGAAGAGATTTACGTCTAATTAAAAAATTACTGCAAGTGGAGTGCGAAGACGAAAATACTAAATAAATAAATAAATAAATAGTATATTCTCTGTAAAACGAGACACACCTCTAAAAGGCATGATCAAATCCAGAAGAGGTGGAAAAGCCAACGATAAACCCCGGGTTATGTGGGCAGACCGATAAGTCTGCCCATCACTGGTCATTCAGGTCACAACAGTCAGAAGCAAAGAGACCATTGAGACGAGATTAGAATATCAGCTCAAAGAGTGAAAAACGTAGAATTTAGGTTTCAGTAATAAAAGAAAGCATAGGCAGAATAGGCACGTACAGGAAGAAAGGGGACATAGTGATAAGGATTAATCAGGGCCAACAATGCATTTCAGTTGAGGGTTGCAGGACGTTACGTCGGCAGAGCCTAGGTCCTTGGGACCTCAGAAGTCCGAGGTGGGTCAGAAAGCAGGAGACCGTTCAGACGCGTCCGAATAGGCCAGTAAGATAAAGCTAGGCCGCCAAATTAACTTGTGGATAGCAGAGATGAGTGTTATAAGAAAAGGGACGACAGCGGCTATATGAAAAGCCAGTTAGCATGCCAAGGAAAGGTCTGGAGAGAGGGGAACAGAGCGTTTGGAAAAGGTTAGTGAGCAGCCCGAATGGCCGGTGACCACAAGAAACCTGTTGTTCCCCCGACATGAAAGCATGCGCGCAGTCAAGTCGCAACGTGTGAAGCTGCCAGGCTGTAACCACTCGAGAGAAAAACCAATCCCGCGCCGGGAGTCGAACCCGGACCGCCCGGGTGAAAGCCGGCAATCCTACCCACTAGACCACGCGGGATTCTAGACCACTTGACATCCTGTGACAGCCTAGTTGCCGTGCTTGCCGGTAGATCAGGATGACACCCATCTAAGGCACACCTGCCTCGCACCTCTTACTCCATAAGCAGCGAACATAGCTTAGCAATCTCTGACGGTCCGGGTTATGTTCAGCCACGGGTCCTGCGCTACCAGGACAAGCTACAATGGTTGGGCGGAACAATGCATTCTGCTTGACCACCCGAAAAGCCACCAAAAGTTGAACTTGTTCCCAGGTACCTTAGCTGGGGTTGACGTCCTTAATAGACTTTCAGCTGCAGGCTATCCACTAGTGGAAAGCCTGGCCGAAAGCGAACATATGGAATGGTCTTGTAGTCCCCGTGAGCAGCCGAAATATCCTCCACCGTCCTTTCACTCATCAACTGTCAGCGGAAGGGTTTCATCAACTTAGGCTTTATGCAAGAGGACACCGCTCAAAGTCAAAAAGGCAGCGACATGCAAAAGAAATGATTGCAGGCGTTTGTCGAGTACAGACGTTGCGAGGAATGGAGAGTTACGTGATGAGAAAGGGTGGGGATGACACTTACTGGGTGCAGGGGAAATGCGAGGGGGAAAGTTTTTGAAGCAGCGTTTGTACTACTAGGGATTGCAAATATGAAAAAAATGAAACGTAATGTACGTTAAATTGTTGTTACTTGCAGCAGGCCACACAGGTCTGTACAGGCTGCCTATGGTATGCAGCACATGTCTGATGAAACGATCGTCAGCATAGGACGCAAGTAATTCACTTCACTTGGACGGAGCACTGTGAGCCATCCTCCTCCTGCTGACGAAGCTATCAACCGCTACTGTGCGTATCCGCCGCTCAAGCCCTTCGCTTTTTACTCCACGTAGTTGTATGGTGAGAAGCGGTGGTGGTGGTTTTCAGCCTACGGAATTCCAATCCCTGTGACATGCTGCAGGTAACAAAAACATCGAACACACGGGGTACCAAAAGTGATTTTTGTCGTGCCAGCCATCCCACTCATTCCGCTGCAAAACCACTATTCCAGCCTCCTCGCACGAGACTCTGGTTACAATAGGTCTAATATCCATGCTTCAAGGACGAAGAGGGGTGCAGAAAAACACACGCGCAGCAGCATCGGAAGATTGTGCATCCGTTGCTTGGAATAGGACGAGGTCCTCCCACTATAATCGCTGCAAATGTTGCCCACCAGATGACCGGAAAAATACTTCTACGTTAATAGCCACGCCAGCAGTTCCTGAAAATATGCCACCAATCCCATCGTGCGGACGAATCCTTCTATGCCCAACCTCAACAAATGCGCCTCCACGTCACCGAATATATCGCGTGCTGTGCTAAATTGTCTCGCACGGTCAATAACGCGATCAATACGGGGCCGCAGTTGCGTGACGGTCATTGTTCCCTTCATGTCCGCAGACATGCCAGCCACTACAGAAGTATCGGCTGGAAGCACCCAACGGAAACCACGGCGAACAACGTCTTATTCGTAGGAATTTAAACTAGCAACGTGCAATGTGCGCCCATGGAATGCGCCGCTACCGATTAAAGCGAAATTCGCAAGTGCTACCATTCTCTATAAGCGCACGCAGCATGCCTAAGCACTCGTCATCCACCAGCAAATATCTGCCATCCGAAGTCACACTGCAGCTGCTAACTCTTGCACTGTGACGTACCTAATGCCGACGGACGGATGAAGAGACCTTTTAAAAACGAACTGCGCACCGGTGACACGCGGCTCCACGTCGCACATATGAAGCTTGTCTCTTGCAAGCAGGGTATCTTCTCCAAAATTTACCAACACCGCCGCATTATCACCTGAAACAAGTAAAGCAGGGTTGACCGCTCACTCAAACTCCTTACAATGTTAGTTCGCACTATTAACCCGAGTGGTGCGTCGTACCCAAACAACACCAACAGGCTTATTAAATGCGCTGCCCAGGTAAGCCGGCATGGAAGTTAAGCGCGACGTAGGTACTGATGGCATTCATTGCTGATCACCAATATACCCTCCATACAACGATTATAATGCCCACAGTCAAGCATATACAACAAAGAACGCAACGTGTTGAAGGACGCCCTTTTATCATCCAGGTTACAGATGGGAAGGTGAGCACAACGCCGCTGCATGTCACATATAATGTGTACCCGGCAGAAAACTAAGTGGGCAGTAGGAAACGCCTTGCGAAACGCCTTCACCTGCGTCGCGCACTTGTGCATACTCAGCGTTCGCGCAATGTTTGCCTCGGGGACCAAATCCATCACACGGCCCACCGCATCTAGACTGCTACCCTCAGTCTCATTCTGCGACAGAACAAAAAAGAAGCACATACCAAGGCCGCTAAAGTCCAAAAAAGATGCAATGTCACGAGATATAAAACCAAAGTGATTTATCGGATATGTGGAGTTCGCCAAACTTTCCTTATCGTATTGGCCCACCAAATCCAGCATTCAGAAAGGGACGAAAAACAGGTACCGAATTTCGTTTAATTCACGCAATATTTTTTGTTGACTATTGCTTCGTAAAAGCTGCGTCACCTCCTCCACCTACGTGACACCAACATTTAGATGACGCCGCTTGTAGGTTATACAAAACATGCCTTGTTAAACGAAGGTCATATTGAACGCGCACAAACTCACGCATATCCTGCGTCCGACGAAATGTCTTCATCAAGTTCGGTGCCATGCTTTACTGGTCCCTTGAGGGCCGGCCATTTCCGCCGTACAGCCTAGGGTTACCCACATGAAAATTGTGGGAATGATGTAGACACGCATGCATAATCTCGTCGCATCCTCCCCTCAAAACCACTGAGGACAGCGCGGCAATTGGAACACCGGTAATCGTTAGAATCTTATCACGCGGATAAACAACAATTGCAGCTTTTCAGCAACATTCGATCGCTTGTATGCACGTACACAAATTGAATATATTAGTATCGGCAGATTCGGGAAGCAACTGCCCAGTTTCCCATTTTTAAGCTTCTACTGTAACCCCGCTCCGGCGAACAAACGATGTTGCCGTTTTAATCTGAAAACATTTTAAATCCTCAAGGTTCGCTGAACAGTTTAGATGTACGCGCTTGCAGATACTTCGAAAGGTACTAGAGTCCTTCACCATCGTTGCGGTCGTTAGAAGCGGGAATTTATTAATCACCTTGCCGCATTTAAACCATTCCGTATAATAATTATAATTAACCTCTTGGCACAATAACAAAAACTTACAATATATTAAACAAACTCATACCACGAAATGCCCTAACTCTTCAATTATCATCAAAACATATTGTGTACCACAATCACACTGTCAAAACCTTATTGATCGCTGTTGGAGGAATCGGCGCTCCTATGTGTATTAACCATTTGCTCCACTAGAAGTTGATTAAGCTTGGATAGTTCAACTGGTGATCCATTTGTGCGGCAGCGGTTACAAAAGTTCCTTTTATCTTTTCGCTTTTAAGGTTTAAATCGAAGCTGATTATTTATTGTTTGTGCGCCGCACGCTTGTTTCACCATTTTATTTCGCCGACGTCCACCAATCAGATGTCGACAGTTGTTGCGAAACGGGATGGGGACTGACCGGTTAACGAGACGCGCGGATGCAAAATAGAGCAATGACAGAGGTAAAAGCGGTTGCACTGGCAACAAACTTAAGCTAATAAGAACAAGGAATTAGTGATCCTAGGAGAATAAGCGACGTATAACATAAAAGGTAATATTTACGGTATTTATATTTAAATAGAGCAATTTTCTAACTATTAATTTTTATATTAAGGATTAAAGCTATTAAGTAATAAAAAGAAACTGAACAAACAGATCTGAAAAGATTAGGATTGTAATTTTAATGAAAAAGCTAAAATAAATAAAATAATGTTAACGAAACCGTGGGTTTGGTTACCTCCGCAACTTGCAACTGCAACAATAGTACTTGGGTCTCGTATCGTTGGGTCGCTCCGAACAGAACACCTGTTGGTAAGTGTAGCGGTGACTAGGTTTGTCTTGTGGCGATCCATAAGGTAAGGCGATCGTAGTCGCTCGGTTACATAGTCATTTATTTTTACTTCGTCTATTCGTTTGTTTATACTCATCACCAGTCAGGAACATTTAGTGCAGGCTTTATTAAGCTGACTCTGTGGCTGCACCAGATTGTGGACTTCTCCACTAGGTATACAGATAACCAGATACCATATACTTTAGGTCTAATTTTCGCTGTCCCTCGCCTTCGTAACTGATGTTTCGAACGGTGCGATCACGCAAGCATATCCTTTCTGTGTTGTCTCAAGACACCAACAGACCGCCGTTGCATTTTTCCCGAATATTTGGCGAGGTCACTTAAATGTACTGCGAGCTAAGTCTTCAGTCTGAACTGTGAAATATTACTGATCTTCTCTGTCCAGTTAGCCTGGGATAAATTTAAGGTTTCCACTCCCTATATTCCCCTCATGAGGAAGAGGGTTATGGGCACAGCCTCCATGGATAGACAACACTGGAAAGTACCTACTCAAGGAACGGTCTAGATGCTGGCGAATCAACCAAGCAGTTCTATCAGCCAGTGCCTACGATAGTTATCGAAATATTAATAATAACTAAGCAAAACCTCAGGACTGCTCGTCTCCAGTACGAGCAGGGTTTAACGGACTCGACCGCAGCTAATCCAAAGAAGCTTTTGCTTAAGTTAAGTGACGCAGTTAGCGAGACTGTCTATACTAAACTGTATATAGCAAAGATACAGAAATTTGCGACCAGCATGATCGAAGACCCACGAGGGGTAATCGAAAATCGTCTAATTACCTTGGGATTATTTTTCTTGGAACGGCGTAGGTTGAGAGGGGTTTTGATTGAGACGTTTATCATTAAGGGATTTAGTGGTATTAGTTCCACCCAACTGTTTGAGTTAGCTATGTCGGACCAGCTGGGTGGTTCGGGATTTTCCCGTTCCAGCAAATGGTTCGGCGGCAGTGTTCCAGGACGTGGTGGGTTTTCGCCTGGCAAGCGTTCTCCCTATAAAAAGCCACATATGTCCGTTTAACAACACTGTGACGTGGCGGACGTGACTCGCCACTAAATAAAGTCACTGCCCCTTGCTTCATCCTGGCGAAGCATTGTATTCTAGCAACCTTATGCTGTACTTCTGGGGAGCATTGGGCCCCTGTTTGACAAAGGAACAAACGAAAGGCGTATGAACTGAGCAATCAGTCACCGGCTCCCAATTGGCGCGATTCCCTGAATTCGCTCCGCTGCCTTGCGGGCAGGCTATTCAGCCAAGGGCTCGGGGTGGTGTCCCCTAAGTCAACACCCTACTTCGGCTTGGGCAACCGGGTAGTATCTCGCCCTCTGAGGAAATCATGGACATTGTTGTGTTGTGTTTTATTTTACTGTTTCTGTACCTTCGTTTGAACCCCATGGTTTCTGATGGCATTATGTCTGTTAGCAGACTTTTGCAAAAATATATATACAAAATATATATGTCGGACCACCTGCGCGGGCATCGCCTGAACCTCAAACATCATAGAGCACATTTGGTCACCAGAGCAAAGTTTTTTACGATTCGAGTAGTTAACATTTGGAATAAACTTGATTTAGTTGTATGTGAGTCTGTAGAAGCCTTCAAAAGGAGCTTAGATGAGTGTTAGTCTGTCCTTTTCCCATAGATATTTTAATTGTACTGGAATACGTAGTGTATTTTGATGCTGACACATGAACGTGCAAGGTTTGCCCTTGTTCTTGCTTCATTATTTTACAGAAGCAAGAGGAGTTAATCCAACGTCGAAGTGCCGGGAGCCGCTTCACTTACCGGCACAAGAGACAGGACGCTCGTTAGGCGCAGGTTTCTATCTTCCGGTATATCTGATCTGACCTGACCAGCACTATTGCGCTCAGACGGGACCCGTGGGCAAACTGACTATGACAAAGCTTGTATACTTAGTAGACTATATTGGGGTCTGTTCGGGAGACCTCTTTACCACAACTTGAATTTTTTCCCCAAGTTTTAGAGAATTCCTGTTTAGCTGAGTTTAACATAACGGAGACTCAGGTCTTCGAGCTATTGCAAGGCATTAGTTCCTCTAAAACTTCCGGTCCTGATCCAGTTCCTCCGAAGCTGTTACGTAGATTGGCCACTGAGCTGAGTGGTTTTCTCACATGCGTATTTTCAATATTGGAGTAGAAAGAGGCAATCATCTGTCCGATTTTTAGGGCGGTGGCCGCGCTCTGCCTGCGAACTACTAGCCTGCCAGTTTGACAAATGTTGTAAATAAGTTGTTTGAAATGCTGATGAGGGATTCGGTGGATAACCACCTGAATAGATTTAACCTCAGTGTTACGCAATATGGATTCTGCAAGAGATTTTCTTGTCAGACTAATCTACTTGTAGCTCGTGAAAGCTGGGCCGAAGGGGTAGACAGTGGCCCCTTGTAGACATGCTGTTCGTGGACTTTCGAAAGCTTTTGGCACTGTTTAATCTTCGACACTAAAGTTGAAATCTTACGAGATGTCTGGTCGCACCCTCAAACTGGTATCTGCTTTTCTGGAGGGGAGGGAAGTGTGTGTACGCGTGGGGCGTAGCCTTTCGCTTAGGCAAGTTGTCTTTAGTTGCGTCCCACAGGGCTCGGTTTGGGGCTATTGTTGTTAGCGATTTATGTAAATGACTTACTGGGGAGCTAGGAGTGTCATCACTAATGTTGGCTGACGACCTTAAGGTGTATATATATATATATATATATATATATATATATATATATATCGCGCCCATTGGGAGCCGGTGACTGATTGCTCAGTTCATACGCCTTTCGTTTGTTCCTTTGTCAAACAGGGGCCCAATGCTCCCCAGAAGTACAGCATAAGGTTGCTAGAATACAATGCTTCGCCAGGATGAAGCAAGGGGCAGTGACTTTATTTAGTGGCGAGTCACGTCCGCCACGTCACAGTGTTGTTAAACGGACATATGTGGCTTTTTATAGGGAGAACGCTTGCCAGGCGAAAACCCACCACGTCCTGGAACACTGCCGCCGAACCATTTGCTGGAACGGGAAAATCCCGAACCACCCAGCTGGCACCACGTGGAGGTTGTTCGGCAAGCCAGCCGGAGAGTCCTGAGGCAATTCAGTATGCTTTGGATAAGCTCTGGGAATGGTCTACCTTATGGTTCATCAGCAAACATTAGTGAGCTAAGTACTTTGTTCTCCGAATCGGACATGCTAATCCTCCCACTCGATATATTGTCGGCCGTGGTGAAATACCTGTTGTTACTCAGCAGGTTGAGTTAGGTGTCGTGTACTCGTCAGCTTTTCATTCTGGCGACAGTTGAAAGAAGGCTGCTTGTGGGGGTTTCGTATGATGCTGTTTATCCGCCGCTTTTTCGGAGTCCTAACGGTCCAAATGTTTATGAACCTATTTTCGGCATTTATCCGACCCCACTTCGAATATTGTATCTAGGCTTGTCCATCATGCCTTATCCGAATCAAAATGAACTTGGAGAGGGTGTTGCGAGTAAGTACTAGATTAGTGCAGGGTCTACGGAGACAGACGTATTCTGAACGCTAGCTTAGTTTGGGGATATACTCCATGCACTACCGAAGCATAAAATGGGACTTGATTCCCAATTATCGTATTTTGACGGGTAAGATCGACCCGGACTTGTCAGAGCTATTCAGTCCAGCTAAGTTACCTAATATCCGCGATCACCCATTGAAGCGGCATAAACCACGGTCTGATAGGATTAAGATAGAAACGTCTGTCCCGCCGTTATAGAGCGCTGCAATTCACTTCCAGGTCATGTGGTTAGAGAATCTACGGTTAAGGGTTTTGCGCGTCAGCTCTATGCTCTTGGATAGCAACACCAAACCTTTCCTTTTTCTTAACTGACATCTTCAGTTTTCAGCTCTTTAATGACTGAAATATTTTGGTATTCTACTTTAGCTGTTTCCACTTTCCCCTCTTGCCCTCTGAGTTTACTTTCTTTCTTTCTTACTTCACGTAACTGGCGCAGGAACCGCCAGCGCAGGATACGTGGGCATTAATTGGTTGGACAGGATGTGATGCGGTCTTTGTTTTAGGTCCATCAGTATTTCAAAGTCTGCCAACTCCTGGTTCAACAACCTGCCGAAGAAGGAACACACGGGATAATCCTATCGTTCCAGTCCCACTTGAACTTCATTTGGGGCTCACCCCTTGTGGCATATGTGCGAAACACATACTGCTCGCCATGTTAGGCGGGCGCATCCTCCATGGCACACACGGGGGTCCGGGGCTGGGCTCAAATATGACGGCATGTATGTTAACATAGGAAGCCTAGAACATGAAAAACAGTCTAAATTATCGTGGATAATAATAATGTTAGTTTAACAACGAATTGGGTATTTTTGTTCAATGTCACTTTTAATGCGCGGTTCACGACAATATAACCTTTTCATTCATCATCTCTGCTTTCCGACGCGGACAATTTGACTGCTCTCCTTCAACCTTAGATTTCGTAATAATCAGATATAGTCACTTTTCAGATACTTGCAGGAGCTCCCATTGATAAGTGACCACTGTGTTCTAACCTCACTGAATACTGAGAGTCTTTTCGAAGTCTTGACTAATGAGGAACTTCCGCCGCATCAACAAGTACAGAGCAGAGCGCTACAAATCAATTGGGTTCCTAAACAAACTCACGCCACTTTAGAACAGCGATGGCGCGTAATTAAGGGTGGGCTAGTTCAGCTTCTGGACAAGTTTGCTCCGTTGCGCTGCAGGAGACGTATCGACAAACGCGCTGATGGCGTCAGAACATTTGTCAGGCACTAAAGATGCGCAGCGATTCCTGGAGAAAGTTTCGGGAGTCTGGAGGGTTTAAAGCCGCGCTTGGAATACTGTGTACGGGCTTGTCCCTCATGCCACGTTCGTGGCAGGATGGCAATTGTGTGGGTCTTGCGGTCTGGGACGAAAATGGTGCATGGGTTAAAGAAGCTGACGTATCCCGAGAAGCTACG